GCAGGCGCGGAGGCAGGGGCAGACGCACAGTCCGCGAGGCTACAGGGCAACAGCAAGGTGGGCATGAGGATGCTGGAGGTAATGCTGAGCGGGGCAATCGTGTTACCGGTGAAGAAGAGGGTGGTGACCAGGGCAGGCGCGGAGGCAGGGGCAGACGCACAGTCCGCGAGGCTACAGGGCAACAGCAAGGGCAAAAGTGCTGTTTGTGTCACGTAGCACGTGTGCCCTGTGTGGAAGGGCAATGCCCATTCCGTCCTGTATTGGGTGAAAGGACGCAATATAACTCTCAGAGTGCAAGGATTTTAGTGCAGTATCACAAAGGAAGAAGCACCATTGCTGAGAGGCTATTACAAGGGAACCAAGCACGAGCTGAGGCTAATCCAATTTTATGCACTATTTTCAACCGAGCATTGATTAGCGTTGATAGGCATTCGAAGAAAACATTTTCCTGGGACCACACCAGCCTAGAGTGAAGACACTGAGCTTACTGGAAATGATACCTGAAGCTCATGGTCGGCAGCTGGAACAGATACTTAATGAGATAAGAGATTTACTGGGTCCTATGATTCAGGATGAGGAGCTGGCACAATAGAATTGGTAAGTATTTTTGGCACCTGTTCCTTATTGTGTTTTCCATAAATTTAAAGATGTTTTCTTTATTTGCTTAGGTAGTTACTCACTCATGGAGAACCCATGGAGACATCTTCTTTTGATATGGTGGATTCAATAGATGCAGAGGAAAATTGGACTGGTATTTTTGAAGAAATCAAGATTTCAAGAACTGGAGACTTCATGAAACTGATTTAGTTCAGTTTATTCCAAGTATTTTGTTGCATTTTAATTCTAGTTTGTCTTTATGCTTAGTTGCTCTTGGTCAATGCTTTTAGAAAAGGTAGCAGAAGTTTAGGAAAAACTATTTTGTTCACATTTATCAAAGAGAAGGGGGAGGGGAATTGTAAACCTCACCCAGTTAGTTGGGAGGTGGTTTGCTCTGAGAAAAAATATGGGGGGCTTGGATTAAGGTCTGCTTGGGATAATAATCAAGCTTTTATTGCTAAGCTTGGTTGGCGCATCGGAAAAGGAGACAATGCCTTGTGGTGTAGGGTGATGCAAGCTAAATATTTGCGTGGTAGAAATTTCATGGAGGCAGGCAACATGGTTGGGGCCTCTTTTATTTGGAGGGGAATTGTAAAGTGTCGTTCAGTACTTCAACAGGGTGTGCGTTGGCGAATAGGCTCTGGAGAGAAGGTATGTTTTTGGCAGGATGCTTGGGTAGGAGATGCCCCACTTATTAGCTCTAGTAATGAGCCTCATGCTCTCCCCTCTTTGTTGGTATCGGAAACCATTAATCCAGACAGGGACTGGAATCTTGAACTCTTGCATGAATTAGTTCCAGCAGAGATAGTGGAGAAGATAAGAGCAATTCCACTATCTCGGAACTCACAGCTCGAAGATGGCGATTTCTGGGCCAGTTCAATGGATGGTTTATTTACTGTCAAGTCTGCTTATCAGCTTTTACAAGCTCCAAGGAATTTTGCATACCACTCAACTGATTCATGGAATTGGATTTGGAAGTTACATTGTGCTGAGAGGATTCGATTGTTTGTATGGCTCTTGGTGAGAGGGAGAGTACTAACAAATTCTGTGCGTTTTGCACGTCATATGGCTCCCTCACCTCTTTGTCCGAGATGTGAATCCTCAAATGAGACACCTATTCATTTGCTGCGAGACTGCTTTTATGCTAAAACTGTTTGGAGTTTGCTTGGTTTTGCAATGTCTGAATTTTTTACTCTTGACTCCTTTCCCTGGCCCAAAAAATTTTCAACTATATCAAGAGCTTTCAGACAGGCTGAGGTCTCCAGGGCGATATTGTTCTTATCTGCTATTTGGCTTATTTGGAAGGATCGCAATGCTTTGGTCTTTTGGAACCATCGGTCTCGACCGCAAGAGCTCTGTGTTACAATCTGGCAGTATGCAAAATACACTGAGATAGCAATGAGCTCTTCTTCTCCAGTTAAGTCACGATTGCCCCGATGGGTACGTTGGATGCCGCCTATGGAGGGCTGGTACAAGCTTAACTCAGATGGCTCTTTCAATGTTACTAGCAATTCGGTAAGTGCAGGGGGTCTAATTAGAGATTTCTTAGGGAATTGGATCTCTGGTTTTGTGGTTAATGTTGGCTGTGCATCCATTTTTATAGCAGAATTATGAGGTCTTAGAGAGGGACTCAAGCTATGCAAATCACTTGGAATTGCTCGTGTTGTGGCTGAGATGGATTCACTTGTGGCAGTCAGATTCATAATTGAGAAAAGAGAACCAGATAATTTGTCTGCGGCTATTTTGATGGATATTAGAAGTCTAATGTCTGAATTTGAGGAATGCATACTGCAACATGTTCTTCGGGAGGGGAATGCTGCTGCCGATTTCTTAGCGCCCCTTGGGCATTCTTCACCACCGGGTAGAAGTTTGTTGGATTCTCCACCGACTGGCTTGTAGCCAATCCTTACAGGGGACCAGCTGGGGGTTTCTTTCCTTCGTTTCTAGTTTCTTGTTTTAGTATAGTTTAATTTCCTCTGATGTAACAAAAAAAAATAATAATAATAATGTAAAGATTAAAACAATTAAAGTATCAATATCTATATTAAAACGACCAGATAAGATGGCCAATAACTTTTATTCTCAATCTCAATTGATATATTTTTTGCCGTTCGGAACATTAGCGTCTCAAGGTAACTTTCACACACTTTAATCTAGGTACTCTGAAGAAATTCTAAGCTACCTTTTTTGGGCTCAACAGTACCTACACAAACCCTGATATGTGGTAAAAAGTTAACTGCAATTAAATGAAGATGAAGCTCCACAGGATTCCACGTTTTTAGTAAGTAATGTTCTTTGGATCATAAACAGGCAACCTGCTTTAATAAAGAGCCAAAACTCTCAGCATTCATCACAGTATAAGTGCCACGCCAGAAATCTATCTAATTAACAGAATGCCAGGTCATGATATCTTCTGCACATTTCAATCTCTGCCAATCAACTCCAGGTATTCTAACTACCGAATATTGAATTGCCAAGATCTTCAGTCCCATCTAAAATGGATTAGTGAGCTGATTCACCTTTAACCAACTTTGGCGAATGCTAGGACTAATGTTATCTTCCCCTCAAGGGAGAGCATGTGTTGAGGGCCACAGTAGTTGATTTTGTTGTTCAGATCTCTGAAATTTTATAGGTCACTACTTGGTCTAACTATGCCTTGAAGCTTCCACCCCCCAAGTCCTGCTATGACAAATGCCTGAAAATGGAGTGGATGAGGTTAGATCACGATTTACAAGGTCTGTAACCAAATCAGTCACAATGCAACTGTTCTCATAAAAAACAGGTGAAGCATTAAAGTAGTCTATCCAATGACATCTGAGTACTATCCTTTCCCTCCCATAAGAAAGAATGTTATGAAAGATCTGTCCACAATGAATGAATGCCATCTGCAAGAGATCATTGATTTCTTTCAGGAAAAAAGTAATCCAATGCAATGGGGAGCTAGCTCCAAGGGCTAAGATCCAGTTGGAATTTAACTCCACTTTGTTATTAGTAATTTAACATAGGAAAGCATTCACGTACATGTCTTGATTAGTGTCACAGATCATAGCTTCATCCCAAGGGGCTGTATAAGTAACATTAAACAAAGACATTCTCGCTTGAAAGAATCACTTGACAGTATGTTCATGTAAAATCCATATTCATACCAATAGGTTACCATAATCTATGCCAGTGAGTAACAACTAAGGGGTAGTACCTAAATCTCTAACTTGGCAACCTTAATCTACTGCCTATAAAGGCAAATACACACCCACCTTCAGCAAGGCTGATCCTGAATCTTCCATTAATTGATTTTGAAGTACCTTGACCACAATACCCTTAATTTCATGCGAGTTATGTTGTTCCAGCACCATCAAAATTTCAATCCACTCACGACTCACATTCTCAGTGTTATTTGGATGTCTCCATATGATATCTAAATTTTAAATTTCTAATAAAGCAAAACAGTTACTGTTAGACCTCTACATTAAATCCCAAAAAAGACTCAATTTTATCAAATTACATGACTAGGCTTCTTCCGGATCTATGCTTCTTAGCTCTTACTTTAAATTTTTATCTGCATCCAGTCATCCCTTTCCATGACATTTCTTAAACATGTTTTATACCACTCTCATCGTCAAGTATTCTCACTTGAACAGGGATAAGTACTGAAAACTCCCCAATGAGATATTACAATAAACAAGCTGTTAACCCAAGGTTAGAATCGATTTTATGAAGATTAATTTTTGCAGAATACACAGATGCAAGAAATGAAACAGCATATCTGCAAGCAATTCAGCAAAAAAGGAACTTTTTAATAAAAAAGCATACCAACAAGTATGCAATTACAGTTGTATATGGCACCTAAATGACACAGATGCAGCATGATCAGTAAATATTTCATGACAAAAACAAATCTAACCTCCTCCCAAGATTTTCCAGTTGCTTCAAGCAAAGCAGCATTGCATGTCTTCAGTTCTATGGAGGCACCAGCAAACATTGAGGCTGCCTCTTCCCATCCCTTATTATGTCCCATACACCTGAATGGTCAAATTGTCAGTAAAATATTTTCCTTTTTCTTTTCTTTTTTATTGGGTTTGGGGGCCAGGAGGTTCTGGAGATAAATTAACATGGGATTTGAAGAACCAGCAATCAAAATAATATTAAGTTGATTGATGATAGCCATGGCATGAAAGGACAACACAGATTATGAAGAAAAAGTTTTCAAGTTGCTCCATACTAATATTAATAATGAGAAGGTTACATATTTAGCCCCAAAGAAGGTTAATATTTAGCTTGTAATTGATGAATAAGTAATATTAGGCTGCCTTCAGAGCTCAATGCAAAAGAGACCCTAACATTCTGTTTTTGATAGTAAACTGGCAACTGAAGATGCCAATCAGCCTTTAGAATGGAGATATGGACAACTGAAAGGAACTCACATGACAGTAAGAATCTCATCCCTTGAGTATTGACAGATTGCTTGTTGAAGGTGCTCGGCCGTTTGGCCATCCATGGCAGCAATTGAATAGAAGCTTGAAATGAAATGCACCTCGGCTTCCAAAAACTCCGCCACCTGCTCCTGCATTATATCAAGTGTCTCCCTGGTTCGCTGTGCATTGCTGTAATAAACACCAAGAAAAATCTCTACTTTATTGAATGCAATTCATTCCGAAGTTAAAAAAAACACCTCTTAAATTGTTCACCTTGATAAAATAAGCTGAGGGATCCAACCCATCTGTTGGAGCTTTTCAGCAACCTTTACAGCATCATTCCGCCCAGTTTTACTCAAAGGACGGTCATGATCTGTACAAAAAAAGAATGGACTGATTATTTCTACCAAAAACTGAGCTGAGCTGAGCATTTCATTTTTTTTTTTTTTGGGCGAATTTCATGATTCAGCATTCGTAATTTTGTATATGATTTTATCTCCGGCTGGAAATTTAGCAGAGAAAGGCAAAATACTACCTCGGAGTGAAGGATGTTGCCAAGAGCTCTTCGCATGGCGGAGAAGAATGAGGCGACGAGATATAGATCCGGAAGGAGACGGAGCTTCTTCCGCCGTGACGGTCTCACTTTCAATCACGCTGAGCAGAGGCTCCGCCCGCAAACTGCGAGTTATCCGAACGCAGGAATGGCCGGAATTCGTTGATTCTACCGGTGATTTATGCAGGAAAGGATAACGCAGGTCACCGCCGATTGCTACATTCATGTTTGCTTCAGCTCAGACGGTCGGTGTCCGCTATCTTATCTATCCTTTCCTCCATTTAGAATTTTATGCCCAATTCTTTACATTTTTGTTCAAAAGTACCCTACTTCTTTATCTATTTTCATTTATACCTTAATTCTCTCGGGTGTTAAAAAAACGCCAGGGACATTCTTTGAAATTGTCTTAAAGATTTGGGGCATAAAATTATCCTTATTATCGCTTTTATCATGAGAGTTTTTCAGATAAGGTTCAAATTGGGAAAATTGATTTGGACTCTTCTCATTCTTGAGATCAGAAAAAAAAAA